AGATAAGCTTCACATTTCTTTCGAATGAGACGCCTAGCGTGTATGTACGAGATGAATTCAGTGGATCTAGGTGTTAGATTCTCTTTCACCTCTATAGACTTTCCCTCTCCAGACTTTAGTTGAATCGTTCGTCGTCGGCAATCGATAATTGCTTGGTGTTCGGTGAGCCAATCCATTCCGAGGATGATGTCAAATTCTTTGTACGGTAATTCGACAAGATTGGCAGAGAACTGATGTCCTTCAACAACCAATGGACAGTCTTGATACACATGATCTAACCTCATACTATGTCCTAACGGGTTAGACACTAGTATAGGTTGTTTCAATTGTTCTTTCATTATGTCAGCCTTGTCAGGTATAGGCACGCAGATATAAGATAACGTTGATCCAGGGTCTATCAACACATGCATGACAGAATCAAATAAGGAAAACATACCCTGAATGACGTCAGGGTTTTCCTCAGCTCGTGCCTTCATTGCATAAGTACGAGCAGGAGCTCGTCCCTGTTGCTGACTCTGGTTCTTGGCCGGATTAGATCTTGCCGTTGATCGTTGACTTGGCGTAGGTCGTGCTGATGCTGATTGGCTGACAACTGGGGCTGTCGGAAATGGTTTTCCAGGATTAGTGGGGCAATCCCTTCGAAAATGTCCAGGTTTGCCGCAACCTAGACATAATCCTTGGGCAAGCCAACACTCGCCTGGATGATGTCTCCCACATGTATCGCACAATGGGTGTTTCCACCCTTTTGATTTGTTTTCCGACGCCACAGAGTGCGTCTGCAACGATTTCCCCTTCTTTGAGAAGTGTGAATTGCTAGATTCCTGGAAAGGCCTTTTTCCTTTTGAGATAGAGCTGATGGGACGGTGAGTGCTTGAACTGACATTATTTGTCTTCAGATACTCAATGCAAGCACTCAAGTCGCTATCTGCCCTGGCTATGAGATCATAGGCCTCCGCGAAATCCACGGTGGTTAGGACGGACACACGCGACCTAAGGTCAGGTCGAAGTTTCTTCCTGAATTCCTCGATGCGATCGGTTGGGGTACTCACCAAGGTTGGTGCAAACTTAGCAAGACTGGTAAACTTTTGACGATACTCGGGGAGTGTCATGTCTCCCTGTTGAAATTCAACAAATTCCTTACGTTTTTCTTCACTAAAACGTTTTGGAATATATTCTTGTTTGAATGCCCATTCGAAATGTGTCCATGTCCATGGCTTAGGGGTTCCTGCACTCTCATCAGTCCTCTTCCACCACTCGTAGGCTTCCTTGCGAAGCAGCTGAGACGCCAGTCGGGGATAGTTTCCAATGGGTACATTAAGATCCTCCAACACTCGAGCAGTCTGCTCGATCCAGTCCCATGCAATTTGGGGTTCACCGATGCGATCCCCAAGGAATAATTCTGCACCGTTATCCCTTAATGTTTTGTAGGTTATCACTCGCGGTGGCGGTGGTGGAGGTGGTTGAAACATTGGTGCATTGGCTATCTGTTGTAATACATTTGCTAGGAATGTGGGAATCACAAGGTCGGGTTGACCATCCGCGTTCGGGTTATTCCCAACATTTTGCTGATTGACGGGTTCATTTTGGATGGGAGGGGTAAAGCTAGATGCTTCAGTATGAACACTGACGTGTTCATTATTGTTCCCTTGTCCGTGGGCAGATTCTTGACTCATTCTACAATAACAGAAATTCCTTTATTAGGATTCTTTTATTCAGTAGTTGAGTTTAAGACAGGAATTGCAAAGGATTACAACAGTTGATACAATCAATGGATTTGAAACCAACAATAAGATAATTATCTAAGCGTTTGCATTTCATTAGTTGGTTCGTGCCGAATCTACAAACGAGTCTTCCTTGCCCGACCCACATACGCTACTGGCAGAGTCTACGCTGAACGTCTCTTCTGGGTCATCTCGTTCCCATGCAGCATTGCGGCGCAGATAAATCCTTCGTTTCATTATTCTTGCGAATCGATGTGCACGTTGGTAACGTATCAACGAGTCATAGACATTTCGTTTGTTCTTTCGTATTTTACCACGTACAAAAGTGCGACTTGAATCAACACTTGATATCATTTCCGAATTAACAGTTGACATCTATAAAATTTGATACAGTCGATTTCAATACTCATTTTTTTTTATTACCTTCCTGGAGCAGAGGGATGCAAGAGTCGTGGACTTGATTGAAATCATTTTTTTTTTGCCGAAATACATATATAATGTGTAAAATATATATATTTTTTTATCCAAGTTTTGATCCGAAGATCGGGTTTAAAACCATTTGCTCCGATACCAAATTGTAACACCCTAATCCGTCCAGGTTTACAACCCCTTTCGAACTAAAGTATTAACTTGGTAATCGTATAATTTAAAACATTTCAAATAACTTTATTCATCATAAATGAAATTCCAAACATAATTGTAGTAAATACGGAGTGTTTAATGCGGAAGCGATTTTTAAACATGATTCATAATAACATAATCATTTATTTTCACAATAAATCCACCACGACTGTCTCGCCCCTTCCGCTGCCAAGAACATGCCATTCACTCATTCTGTCTACCTGCGTGTAGCAAATAAAACATACTACACGCTCAGCGATGAAGCTGAGTAAGCATATCTAAAGCGTCAAACATCCAAATAAATTGAATCTCAATTCATAATCAACAATTTGATATCATGCACACAATATATGATTCAAACATTCATGATATTCTCAATATTTTATTCCAAGTCATTCGATATTCAATATCTCAACCATGCTCTTAAATTATTCTTAATCTAAGGCCAAATCATTTTATAACAAGCGCTTAGCTATTCCTAGTCTAAGGCAACATTTCTAACCAGGCCCTTAAACTATAAATAGTTTAATGCAGAACACAAGAATCGATAATCCACCCTATGAGTCGTGTGG